AGAGCAGCCATAGGAAACTATATAGTAGCCATGCCCTGACTCCTGGGAACTTCTATCCACCCTCTAGAGGGGATGAGTCACCCGTGGACTGCTACGAAGGGACACCTCTGGGCAATACCCTCCCTGCCACCCTAAGACCCAAGGTCAAATGAAGGAGGAGGAGGAAGAGAGGGGGAGAAAGAGAGGGAGGGAGAAAGACAGGAAGGAAAGAAGGAAGGAAGAAAGGAAAGAAAGAAAAGTTATTTAATTAGTTAATTTGGGGGGGTGGCACATTGCTGTCTGTCCAGCATTAAAGGGGAGGACAAGAAAGAGAACATCAACATAAATGAAGCACGTACAGTGTTCCAGGCACTGTAAATACTGCTTATGAATGGTAAAATATCATCCCCATTTTCTCTGATGGCAACTGAGTCTCCTGAGAGGTCAGGGGACTTGCACAGATCACATGCTGGTGGCATGTGGATCTCAAAGCAGGTGTTCTAACTCTAGTCCAGTCCTTGTTCGACTCTAGAATGTCCCCGAGCCCTGGAAAAGCCTCCAGTGGAGACCTGTCTGGTTGTTCCGCCCAGGCCAAAGGCTGATCATCAGGCCCAGGGCTGAGAGGTGGCCAGATCCTCTCAGGACCAAGTTAGAGCAAAATCTGTTGGTGGGGGTGGTTTCAATGACATGGAGACAGAGGAACACTTTGCAGCCACTGGGGCATCTGGCACCAAAGGAGGTTTCCATGGGATGCACGATCTTATATTATAAGGCAGAATTCTGTAAGTTCCTGCTTTGCTCTTCTCTCCTCCCAGACCCTTGAATGCTGGTGCTGATCTGTACAGGAGGTTTCTGTTCCTACTATGACCCCAAGTTCCCCTCCAAAGGCAGAAAGGTCTAGCCAGCACAGGAGCTCCAATAGGGTCTGATATGTTCAATGAGGTTCTAACAGGGCCCAGATATCGTTGCCTAGGAATAAGGGCAGAGAGGCACGTTGTCCCCAGATCCTTCCTAGGCCTTGCCCCTCTGAGTTCTATCTAAGATACAGACATCAGATTCCCAGATCTAGGGAGTGGGGGCGGGCCTGTGGGCTGTAATTGCATTTGCCAGGCTGTATGTATGTATGTATGTATGTATATATATGTACGTATTTAGCACAGATTTTATTGGTAGGTATGGCTGGGGATTCAAGGATCATGACGTGACAGCCCCTGACTAGCATCCTGTGGCCTCTGAGCATGGATCTCCAGGCAACTGACCTAAGGGCACGAGGGCCTGGTTTCAAGTCCCTGGGATCTCCTGGGAGAACCTTCCCAGAACTGTTCCTGGTCATGCTTTCTCTTATTTCTCAGTCTGGGAAGTCCTGTAATTAATCTGACCTCACAGCAGCTAGGGTTATGTGGAGCAATGTATTAGGAAGCAAGAGGTTTGGATTCTAGTGGTTTACCATCACTTACAAACTGCAGAAATCTGAGCAACTCGTCCCAAATCTCTGGATTTGGTCTGATCTGGAAAGTAGAAGAAAAAGGTATTTCAAGGGTTCAGGGCTGGCTCTTCTCTGATTCTGAAATTCCCAGCAGGGGTGGGACATCCTCACTGTGGAAGCAGAAAGGAGCTGTGGGGGCAGGACAGAGTTCATCCTGTCTCCCACCCGCTAGGATTTCTTGGCAAGGTCGGGAATGATGATGAAGGCATCAGGAAAAATGGGATCCAGGTCCCAGAGCTTCTCCTTTTGCAGTAAGGCTTTTGCCTGGGGCCTGTGGAGTCCGCATGCTTTGCTCTGCTCACCCAGACCCTGGGCCCTGCCCAAATCACTTGGATCAGCTTGGTTCTTTTGGAATAAATGAGAATACAGGGCCCGTTTATCTCACTCACTCCTCGGGCTTGGAGGCAGCCCATTGTGCAGACAGGGGCATCGAGGCTCACAGAGGTGTGGCTTCTTGCCCTGGCTGACCCAGCTTGCAGAATTGGAACCAGGGGTGGGACCCAGGCGGCCTGACCTCCAGAGCAGAGAGCATAGGCGAGACCGTGTTGCCCTGGGCATGTTTACACCAGGTATCTGTGTGCTGTGCGGAGGTGTGAGGTGGGAGTGCTGCACTGTGCGGTGAAGAAAGTGGAGGGCCCGAGCCGCACGGGCACGTGGTGGCGCGTGCACTGTGCATGTGCATCACCCGCGGCGTGCGGTAGGGGATGGCTGTGTGACCACGCATGCGCCGGCCCGTACCTGGCCCCTCCTCCCCAGGTGGAAGGACTGGGAGCCGCTTTCCCCCCAAAGAAGCCTGCAGACAGAGCCAAACCGCAGCTCCGGCTAGGGGGGTTTGATCTTCCCCTGCTGCGGAGATGAGAGAGGTCTAAGTGGCAGAGATTTATGGGGCCCGAGGGACAAATACCCTTCCAATGAAGACACTCACATGAAAAGCTCCAAAGTAATAACTGAGGCTGCAAAGTGTGCCAATTATGCAACAATTAAAAGGTTTCACTATCTTTCTTTCTCCTTTTATTCTCCCGGCCACTCCTCCCCCTTTTCACATCTGGCTGCCCCGGCAGGCTCCCCCAGCAAATGCTGGGGGGTGGGGGGGGGTAGAGGATAAAGAACACACTTTTCCCCTTTTTAATTGGAGATCAAAAGTTGGAAGCAGAGCTTATCCCTCAAGGGCAGGGAGGGAAGCTGTGTTGTGGAGATTGAGGCCCTCAGAGGAGCAGGTGGGGATGAGAAAGGAGTGCAGGGCAGGTTCCTAACATGGATTCCCAGGCTCTGTACAGACAGACATCGTACACACATCAACTCATTTAATCCACACATCAACCCATTAGATCAGGGTGATTAGCGGTATTACACTCCAGATTAGAAAACTAAGACTCATGAAGGCAAATGCCTCGACCAAGGTCCCACAGCTGGTAGAACTGGCATGAGCCCCAGGTATTGGATGCTAACGGCCACTGACTTTGCGATAAGGCTTTCTCCTATCTCTTCGCCTTGCCTTTACGTCTGGGCAGTGGGTGCAGGCCGGGGGCTCTGTGTGACGGAGCCAAGCACTCTCACAGATGAAAGGTACAGTGGGCACTTAGCGGCAGGATCGCTCTGTAATTAAGCCAGCACCAGCTGAGCCAAATGCCCCGCGCAGCAATCCAGCAGCTAATTGAGAAAGAGTTAGGCAGTGTGCCCCAAAAGTGAAGAAAGAGCTGCTAGGTGGCTTTTTAGAGGTGCCAACCCACACCCAGTATGTGTGCCCCCTCCCCACTGGATTTCCCGGCAGAACTAACAGCCCTCACACCCCAGGGCAGAGAACACTGGGCTCCTTGCCACTCTGCTGATGCCCAGCAGCTCCAAACTCCGCCCCCCCCACTCCCATATCTCCTGAGGGGAGGTGGTGTCGGTGGCATGGGCCTTAAGAGGTCCCTGGCCACCCCTGACCCCAAACACCTAGCCGTAGTAGACTTGCACAATTCACAGTTGACTCAGATGGCTGAGGGGCGCAGGGCACTAAGCTAGGAGCTTCCATGGGCATTTTCTCAGTTAACACATCCCAGATCTGCTCTGTCCTGAACTGAGGGAGTAACTCTGGGCGTGCCATGCCGCTTCCCTGGACCTCGGGTTGCTAGTGTGTTGGTGGAGTGGGCTACAGTGTCCGGCTTTCACTGGCCGCCTGTCTGTGGAGACTAGAGAAGAGAACACAGAGCCCAAGTCACACACAGTGGTGGGGAGAGGTTCCAACTTTCCTGACTCCAGGCTGGGGCACATCCCACCCCCCCCAACTCCCAGGCACTTGGTCAGCGGCAGAGTGAGGGCACAGGGAAAGCCAGGCCCAGCTCTGCCATTTCTCCTGCTCCAGGCTGAGCCCAAGAGAACAACTGGGCTTCTGGGTCTCCTGCCCACCGGAAAGAGGAGCAGAGCATTAGTCTCGGCCTCCCTATTCCCTTCCCCTCCACAACCACAAACGCAGACAGCCCAGACCTCCTGGGCTAGACTTGCCAAATGGCTTTCCCCAAACCACTGCCTCCTTGGGTCATAGCTTGTCTCCCGGCATTTTCTCCTGGGCTGCTTTGGGTTCTTGAAAAATCCCTCACCTTGGGAACTTGGGTGCATGTCTGGGTGTTGGGCAGGGAGGGAGGAGGTGGAGGAGGGGAGGCAAAAGGCACTGTGACTGTGATCATGCCCCTGACACGTGAGCCCTGCCCCAACCTTAATGGCTCACTCTCAGTGACCAGGGACGGGGGCGGGGCTGGGGGGGCTCCCTCTCTCCCTGGCGCTGGTGGCCTGCACCAGGTGGCTGTGGCAGCCAGCTCCCTTGTGGGAACTGCGGGACCTCAGCTGGCATGGCCAGCATACTTAGAGAGCCCAGCCAGTTGTCTGCTCAAATGGGGCCCACTCAGCCCACTCTGTGGGGGCTGGCGGGACTCCAGAGGAAATGATGGGAGGGTTTGGGTGCGTTCTGACCTTAACTGAATTCCAGGATGATGATGTGTGAATAATATGGCTTTTTGAGAGTCAACAACTTGGGTGCTTTTTATAGTCAGGCTGGACTGCTGAATGGGCCATCTCCCCATTAATCATTTGGCTAGTTAGATCGACTGGCCAACCATGCCGGCATGAGTCCATGGTATTACCCTCCCTTCCGTCAGCAGCCACCCTGAAACACATGCCAAAACTGCCATGGAGTCCTCCCATCCCCATCCCCAAGCCTTACAGTCCCCAGCCTCAAGATCCTCATTCTTCTGGCTTTCCTATCTGCAATGTTCATTATTTCGGTGGTCTCTGCTGGCAGGGATCCTAGATTCTCCCTCTCTGGGCCACCCTGAACTCCCAGAGGGCACATTCCACCCACCTGAAGGAGGAAGGAATGTATTCAGAGAGGCATCCTAGAGAGAACGCCAGGGAGGGCCATGTGGGTGAGCAGGCCTGGAGCCAGTGCCCAGCACCCCAGTCCCACTGGCTTCTCCCTCTGCCAGCCTCCCCCCGGCCTCCAGGCGTTCAGGCTTTCCTCACCAGGACAGGGCCCCACCACAACCCCAGCACTCACAGTGTCTCCAGATTGTGCAGCCCCTCGAAGCTGTGGGTCCCCAGATGCTGGATGCGGTTGTTATGAAGATGCCTGTGTGGGAAGGAAAGGCACGTCAGAACGGGTGCCCACAACATCGGGCTCGGGGCGGGGGCAGAAAGCAGACGATGGCTTAAGTCGGAAGGTGGAGGCAGAAGCATGAACACACTGACCCCAGTGGTCCAGCCCTTTGTCTCCAGGGACAAAATGATTAGCCAAGACTGACTTCTGAAGTTACAATCCCCACGGCTGAATCAACCATGGGCTACATGGTTTTCACTTCCTACTGAAGGAAAACACAAGAGGAATGCCCAAGACCAAGGCTAAGGCAGGCTCCCACTAAGCTCTTGGAGAGAGTCCTGATGTCAGGGGGGCTCCATTCTGAGGCTTCTTCTATGGTCCTGCTCCCCAGGACCCAGCCCGCCTGACTCAGTGGTCAGACGCGCTTATGGGAGCCAACAGCAAACCGCGGTAGACAACATATAATTAAAGGCTAAGCTTTTTGTTATAGCTGGAGAGAGCTGTAGACAGGCTCAGAGATGGGAGACTGGTAAGAACAGAGGAGTTAGGGAAGGTTTTACAGAGGTGGTAATCCAGAGCAGAGCCTTGAAGCGTAGGTGATCTGGACAAGCAGAGGGAAGGGCATTCCAGGCAGAGGTAACAGGGGGATAGAGGAGGGGAGGTGGGAATGAGCACGTGTGTCTGTGCTGGATGGTGAAGCGCCTGGCCAGAGCGCATGTAGGTCGGGGAGAGGTGGGAGATCAGCTCGGAAGAAACTTCCAAAATAAAGAGCTAACTGAAAGCGAATGACAGAATGATCTTCTCCCAATTCCTAATGAAATAAGCAAAAATAGCAAAAACAAGAACCCTGACTCCGGCCCAAATATTACAAGTAGCAGCAAAGCAAGGACAGAGACATAACCCAATGTAAACAAACTGCACAGACTGGTGACTGAGGTGAAACTCTGGAACTCCTAACTAGTCCTGCTTTCTCCAAGAACTGAGCTGGCAAGAAAACAAAACCCTGAGAATTTCCCCTAAAACCCCAAATCTAAAGAGAGGCAGCTCTATGGAAAAGGTTTGTTTCCCTTCCCCACGTCTGGCTTCCAGAGGAAACAGGTGACACTGGGGAGTAAAATAAAGGTTCCAAGCTACTCACTGACTCGAGGAAATGACTCGAAGCCCGAGGGAATTTTTGGGTGGAGGGAGTGAACTCACACATTTAACACACTCTGAACCTGTAGATACAGCAGAGCCCCGGCTGCCTGACAAAGGCTGGGCTCCCCCTCAGAGCACATTCCCCCTACCTTCACCCCACTGCCTGGGCACAGAAAAGCAGATGGAATCTCAATTACCCACAATAGCCCACAAACGACAGCTAGAAGGGGAAAACCAGGGGCTCCCCAGATGACACAGCTAGGACAAGGAGACAGCTCTCCATGCATAAGCCAGAACGAAGAAATCACATGGTAATTATGGATGCACCAGGGAGACCGAGGATGGGGAGAAGAGAAGGTGCAAAGGCAGGTAAAGTTTCAAGCCAAGAAAAAAAAAAAAATACAACGAATGGATGAGACACAGAAGGAAAATTACCACAATGGCCTCCTGCTACAAAACAAACTCAAAAAACAGTATTTCCAAAATGAAGTTTTAAAAACAAAAGAGAAGGGGCGCCTGGGTGGCTCAGTGGGTTAAAGCCTCTGCCTTCAGCTCAGGTCATGATCTCAGGGTTCTGGATCGAGCCCCGCATTGGGCTCTCTGCTTGGTAGGAAGCCTGCTTCCCCCTCTCTGCCTGCCTCTCTGCCTACTTGTGATCTGTCAAATAAATGAATAAAATCTTAAAAAAAAAAAAAAAGAAAGAGAAAATGACATCGTAGGCAACAAAAACACTGAGAACCGAAATTACACTATTGAAAACTTGAGCCAAGAAACAGGGTCAATGCTGCCTAAAATGAACTGGTATCAGAGAAAAAGCTTGAGATAATCATGGTGAACGTGGCTGAATGAGACAAAAAGGTTAGAACAGAAGTGCATAGATGGAGAAGACATAAAGGTGATTCAATACAAGGGTAATTGACATGTCTGAGGGAGAGAACCCAAACACGAGACAGAAGATGTATTCAAACACAGAGTATGGAAGAAAATTCTCTAGTGGAGAAAGCATAGAATCTGCAGCTCCCAGGCATACAATGTTCCAGAAAAATCAGATACAGAATATTTTACACCATGACATATTCTAGTTAAGCTAGTAAAGTTCAAGAATTAAGAAGCCTCTTCAGACAGAAAAAGGAAATCCCTTACAAGGAGAGGAAATCACACAGGCCTCCAAGATGCTGTTCAAATACCAAGGTGACAGGAAGACCCCATCCAGCACACATGGATAGAAATAGGGGTCTTGAGAGTTGTGGGTCCTGTAGGTCTTCCCCATCCTTGTCCACCTCCCAGGTTCCACTGGGAGACAGGCCCCTGCCATAGGCAGCTTTGGATTTGACAGGGAAAATGTAGCCTTCTGGGAATATACTCTCTCCCCTAACAAGGGGTTTTGATTTCCCTTACTGCCTGATGCTTGTATCCCGACTGTCACCAAACTTAACCATTTCTTCCCGTGTCCTGTTGGACTCTCGTTTCCATTTTCCAGCCCCTTCCTCCTCCCCCAGCAACTCTGGTCTACACCATCTCAGCTTCCTAAATATCCAGCTCCAGGGTTCCGACTCCCTCTTCCAAACCACTCACTCAGCCCGGGCATCCTGGGTGCCTCTAGCAGCCCAGCCTGGGGCGGGGTGTTGGGGCTTCTAGTTCAGATGAAGAGACAAGATTTGCATGTTTGCGAGATTTGCACTTAACCCAGCCAGTTAAGTGCTGCCTGGGGGTCCCACCAACATCAGAGCAGTGGGCAAAGGAGGTCCACATGCTCACAGCAGCCCGATCAAAGCAGACTGGGTTTGGATTGCACAGAAGCCCCTTCTCCTCCACCTCACTTGTCTGTTTACGCCGCCAGCCAGACTCCTACGCAGCAGTTGGGTTTAATCAAACTTTCCTACTTCCTATCATCCTCAGTCTTCCTTATCTGCCTCCTGGGTCTTTTTATACATCATCCCATAGTCCCTGGACAGCTTCCTCCAGACTTCTCTTCCCTCCCAGGTCCTGGTGAGTTGGAGGCAGGACAGAGGAGTCATGTTTCTGGCTCTGCTCCAGGCAAAGGGACCAGTTCCCCTAGAGCTTTGCTCTGCCCTGGTAGGTTTTCTTCCCTTGCCCCTCCTTTTGCCCAGTGGGGTCCCCGTCCCCCCCCCACCAGATATGCAGCATGCCTAGCATTCCAATTTCCTGGTTCCCAACCACACTTTGGAGTCATTCTTGATTCCCCTTCCTCCTGGTCTTTCCTAGATCACATTTATCCTTCCTTTAAAACATCCCTCACAGTCATGTCTTCCCTTCCACTCCTTCTCCCACCCCCTTATACTAGACCTCAGCTGATAAACGAGAGCCTTCTACCTGTCGCCTATTTCCACCCATCCTCCAAACTAGCCTTCCTGAAATATCGCCCTGCTCATCTTTACTCGAAAACCCTCATGCTTCCCTTTCCCCCTGACTGACAAAAGCCAAAGTCCCTGCTAGGACTCTGAGTCCCCTCACCCACCTTCCCAGCCACATTCTGCAGGAGGATCCTCTGCTCACACCAGACTAGCCTATTCACTGCCACCAAACAGCCGGACTTCTATGACACCGCTTGGAACTCTGTTGGTCTTCAACTGTCTTGTTCTTCATCTTCCCAGCCCCAGGACCCACCCCAACTTCCCCATGAAGCCTTCCCCATTGGCCCAGGTTTCCGACACTGCATGAATCTGTATCTGTCACCAGCTATCTTAGCATAAGGTACAGTAAGGACATCACCAGCTGTCTTTTCCATCATTTAGTCCACTCTCTCAATTAGACTGTCAGCCCCTGCAGGGCAGCCACTGTTCGCATCCTTTTCAGACTCTATAGCACCCCACATATGGGTTCTGGAAACACCTGTTGCTCCTCATTTGTCTGGAACCCCTCATGTGGCCCTCATTTTCCCAGTCTTGTCTCTCATGACGACGATCTGATCCCATCCCCTCAGGGTGTCACTGGGCTGTCACCAAAACAAGAATCAGTCACCTTGCTCTGTTCACCCTCTATTAATACCCCCACTGGCCCCCAGAAGCAGGGATGGAATGGCCATCCTGATAAAAGGACGTGATCCATAAGAATGGTCCTCTTGGTTTTCCAGTCTCCCCGGACAGAGGATTAAACAAACAAATTGGTGCCTGAGTGTTCAGCTTTTAGATGGACCTACACCTCATCTATGCTCGGGTTTGGAAAATCACACCAGATTTCCAAGAGCAGGGGAGGCAAGTTGCCGTTTAGCAGAGTCACTAACACATATGTTCCCGCAGCAATTAGCGTGTAACCCAAAGCAATTACACATGACCTCCAAGCCCTTAGTAATTACCCTATGAACTTCCAATCACTCATAGCAATTAGCTGGGAGCTAATTTGCACTCCAAAGTTCCCACCAGGGAGGCAGAGGTAACCCCGGTCCCCAATTCCTGCCAGGGATACTATCTCCCAGGTAATTACCCTGATGGGGCTTTGCTGTCTAATTACTAGTGATGGCTTTTCTCTGCTTCTTGGAGTCTGGGAAATGAGATGAATTTATCCTATCCCTGTGCCAAAGCGTAAGACTGCAACACCTGATGGTTGAATGTGGTAGAAATCGCTTAAGAGATTGCTGACTTATATTCCAATCAGCTTGGTATAGTTATTATATTATATTTGCATAGCGAGAAACTAGTAGCTTAATTCCTGTTTTCTGATCATGGTGTTCTGGCTTCTCAAAGCACTTCTACAGCTCTACTGTCATTTGGCCTCAAGATAATCCCCATGGGGTCAACAGGGGATGATCGTCCTCACTTTAAAAAGGAGAAATTGAGGCCAGAAGGTTCAGTACCATGCAGAGAAGAGCAGAGCTATCCAGACTTCCAACCCAGCTCTGGAGTAAACATGCAGCCCCAGCAGGACCCAGCTGGGAGTTGGGGGGCGGGGCAGGGCAGCACTCACAGCACCACAAGGCTGGTGAGGTTCTGGAAGGCGTAGTCAGGGATGTGGTTGATGCGGTTGAGGGCCAGGGTCATGGCCTGCAGGGCAGGGAGGTTGTTGAGGGCCCTGACAGGGATCTCGGTGAGCGCATTGTCGTCCAACCACAGGTGACGGAGGGAAGACAGCCCCTCAAAGCTCCTTTCCGGGACCAGGGAGATGAGGTTGGCATCTAGGCGCCTGGTGGAAGAGAGGATGGATAAGGATCAATCCCGGGCAAGATGCAGACCATGGTCTGGGACTGACCTGAGCTGGGCCAGCCCCGACCCCTGCGGGGCCTTCGAGGTACCCTAGGACTACAGCTGTGACTTCGCCACCACTTAGCCTATACCCCGCCTCTTCACATTCCCCTATTTCGCCTCCATTCCAACCCATAATTCTTGATCCTTTATGCCATATGTTCCTACTTATGGCACCAGCTCTTCCTCTCAGACCCAATGTTGAACCCATAGCCCCTCTGTGGATAACCAGTATCTCCCTCACACCCCCAGACTTCTCACTCTATGCCATAGCTCCCCTCCTTCGGGTGAGACACTATTCTTCCCAACCCTCTCCAGTGCAAGGCCATATGGTAGGGATAGTCCCACCATTTATAGAGGGAAATCTCCTCCTTCTGGACCTAGCCAAAGAGAAGGCTTCCCCAAAGATTCAAGGCACTCCCTGTCCCCTGACCCCAGCTCCGCTTGCTCCTTGTCTCTTCAAGGAGCCGGTAGTTTGATGAAGCTCCTGCCGAGGTCCTAGGGCTTCCTGCTCAATTGATTGTCCCTAATATGCTATAGTTGAAGTCCTTGCTAGGCTACTTTTCAGAACAGGAAAACAGATGGTGGTGTTCCTGTCTGTGTGACAACCAGAGGTTCCCAGGTGAAACGGGAACTTCTGATGCAAATTCTAGAAGACCTAGAAGTTCAGCCCAGCCAAACAGGAGACTGCCCATGTCAGCTTTTGACAGCTGTATCCCAGCCATGATGTCCTTTTTCAATACACTATTCTGCCTTCAGTGGGGGCTGAAATTGGATCACTCTAGGTAGCTGGTCCCACAGAGACCAGACAAGCTGGCCTGTGACTATGGACCCCCTCCTGAACTTTCCTATGTTGAGGGGAGGCTCTGCCCTGAGGTATGGCTCTCCCACATGTATATGGCACCTCAGTCACTGACAACCCAGCCTTTGTCCACAAAGGCCTGAGGACTCCATAGCCCTGAACCTGAAGAACAAGTGATGTGGGCGGAGGAAGGTCCTGCTGGGCTTCTATCTCTTTCCTGAGCAAATTCACCAGTGCCTTTCTTGCCAAATGTCTTAAGGGCCACTGGGAGACACTCCCTGGCTCACCACCAAGGGGAGAGAACAGGTCAATGCTGGGACCTTAGATGGGAAAGCAAACCGACCTGGATTGTTCTTGAAAGCTGAGATTAGAAAGACCACCCACCCATATCAAACCTGGAAGGATGGGACCAAACACCCTTCAGTGAGTAGTGCCCTCTACTGGCAAGGCCTAGCACTCCAGATATGGTCCGTCCATGGTGGTCACCATACTCTTGATGGTCTGACTGGATGAAACTTTGTGAAAATACAGACTCCCAAGCTGCTCCCCAGTAGAGTGTTGTTCAGAAGGTCCAGAGGGGGCCTGGGAATCTGTTTTTGTTCTTGTTTTTGTTTCTTTTTTAAGTAGGCTCCGTGTTCTGCATGGAGCCCAATATGGGGCTTGAACTCACGGCTCTGAGATCAATACCTGAGCCAAGATCAAGAGTCGGATGCTTCACCAACTGAGCCACCCAGGAGCCCCTGGGAATCTGTTTCTAAAGAATACCCTAGAAGTTTCTGTGCACAGACAGGTTTGGGAAATATTGGATACACATCAGCTATGAAGAAGACAATGTCCCTGCCCTTCCTGATGTAGCTTAAATCCAGTGGGCAAGCCAGACGTACTCACAGGACAGCAAAGGCAGGGGAAGCACACCTGTGTGAGCATCTGGAAAGGCCTCCAGGAGAAAGTAATGTTTACATAGAGACCTGGTGGCCAAGGAGGAATTGGTCAGGGGAGGAGATGGGGAAAAGAATCCTGAGCAGAGGGAAGGCAAGTGGGAAGGTGAGGGCACAGCAAGGCACGGGGCTGAGAACGGTCAGGTAGGGCTGCAGCAGGAGGGAGGGGAAGCATGTAGGGAGAGTGCAAGGTGAGCTAGTCAGGCAGAGAGCCAGAGCTCTCGGGGTCTCGTAAGCAATGCTGTGTTAAAGGAAACAGCCACTGAAGGGTTTTAAGCAAAGGAAGAACCTAGCCAGACTTCTGTTTTGAAAAGATTCCTCTGAAGACCTTGTTGGTATAGGAGAAGGGCCAGACTGGAGGCAGGAAGATCAGCAAAGAGATAGTTGCTTTACACAACCTCCTCATCCGGAAAGGGACAGCCATGGCCCTAGAAGCTTGAGAAGTGAATTTGGCCACCCTGCTGTCCAGTCCCAAAAAGCATCCTCTCCTAGGGGTAGTTCTTGTTGCTCCTGACCTGGGATAGTACCGGGCTGGCCAGGCAGGCTCCCTGGCACAATAAAGTCACCCAGCAATGCCAGGAGTCTTCTTAGCGTCCCATAAGAATGCCACCACCACTTCCTTCTGCTCAGTGAGGGCAGTGTCTTGGTGGCAAGGTGGAAGGTGAGGTATCATGAGTGAAGGCCCCAAGGCAGGAGAATAGAGGGCCAGTGTGGATGGGGAAAGTGGGCACAGACTTCAGACATCCTTAGGAAGTCAAATCGATAAGGCCTAACAACCCATTGAATGTAGGGGACGAGGACAGCTGGGGTCTGGCTCGTCAGACAGGCCTGGGCCTGGATCTCTGCAACTGCCTACCTAAAGGGGGGGATTAAGAGACTCAGGAGGCTGGAATCCCCAAGATGGGGGGTGCTCCCTTTCTCTCTAAAGCCTGGGGCTGGGAGCAACCCTATCGTGACAACCATGACACCAAGAGCAGTCAACGCTTCCACATATCGAGCCCTTGGCATATGCCAGGTGCAGAGCCAGGGACAAGTGTGTGATCTGTGCCTTGCAGCAATGCCATGAGAAATCTCTGGTTAGCCCCATTATACGGAGAGATTAAGCTGCCCAAGGCCACTTAACTAGTGACCCACAAAGCTGGGACTCCAACCCAGGTTGTCTGGGGCCCAAATTCATGTGTCTCGCCACTGTGTGATGCTGGTACTGGGGGAGGGGGATGAGAACTTGCTGACCTATTTGACGGAGCCTGGGAAACAGGGCAGATGCCGTGACCCAAGCCCCTGGTAGGCAGTAGCCCTGCTCTGTGGACAGAGGGAAGGCGCTCTGGGGCAGACAGGAAGCGGCGCTGGGGCAGGGCAAGAGGGAAACGATCTTGTCCTCTGTGGCTGTGGGGGCATTTGGAAGCTGCCTCTTATGCACATGTGTATATGTGAGCACACACATGACCCACGCGTGCACACGCGCACACTTTCACATGTAACCTATGGCCCTGATTAGACCACTGCCTGCATTGTGTGCAACCCAGAGGCGGGAGGGCCAGAGAAGGGCCACTTTCCCCAGAGGCCAGGCCAAGCACAGCCCTGGCTCAGGATGACACTTTCCCAGGTGAGGGCTGGCCTGGACTAATGGCCAGGCCCCTTTCTGCTCTGTTAGAGAGAATGCCTCTCCTGCGAGGCTTTGCAGATCTCCAGGAGCAGTGTGGTAGGGCATGCCTGGGACTGTGGAAGGAAGGTGCCTACAGCCGGATTCCTGAGACCTGGGGACAGGGACACGCCAGAGGGGGAAACCAGGCAAGCTGGCAAATGAAGAAGATGGGATAAGCGCATGGAGGAAATCAGTCAGATCTGAATTTGTGTTTGGGGTGAGCAGAAGGTCCCAGGGTTTCACTCAGGCCAGGCAGGCTTGGGCTGGGATGTGGACCCAGCAGAGGATTGCTGGGTTTAGCAAATAAAAATACATGTTGCCCATTAAAATTTGAATCTTGGATAAGTAACAAATAATTGTCAGTATAAATGTGTCCCACGTAATATTTGGGGTGATGCCCAGTGAAATTTGAATTTCAGATATACAAGGAACAACTTTTTAAACATAAGTAGGTCCCATGCAATATTCCTGTTTTATGTGGTGACTCTGTCCCCGGGGGTGGGGTGGGGGGAGAGCTTGGAGGACATGTAGGCTTAGCCTCCAAAAAGATCTAGGCCCTCTCCTCTCTTCACATTTTCAGCTGGCTTCCTCAGCTCTGTAGTGTGACTACCTGGCCACCCCAGGGACTGTTTTGAGGTTAAATGCAAATAAGAGGCCCCAGCATTAGCTTCCCTTCTAACAAGAAGGCTGGCCACGGGTGCCCTGGGGACCCAAGGGAGGAACTGGGCATCCCCCCAAAAAAGGGATTTCAGAGCAGGTATGGATAAGCCCAACTTGGGTTAGGATTTTGGCCTAGGGGCCTGGCAAGCCCGATATGCAGGTTCACGGTCCAGCTAACAAGGGGCCTTATTTGAGAACAGGACTCAGGCTTATAGGTCCTCCTGGTAGGTTTGTCCATGAAGACAAAACACCCCCTTCAAAGTGGGCTCCCGAGGGGGCCCAGAGAGGAGTGGGGAAGGCAACAGGGGAAGAAATGGAGCAGTACTTACTTCTGTATTCCCCCTTCCCCTCTTGTGAGGCATCCCCTCCCTCCCTCAGGGACCTCTGAAACTTGGGGAGCCCTGAGAAGTCCCCTGTACTCTTTCTCCGCCCCACGACAAGCAGGATCTGGTGCTCTCTGAAGAAGCTGCCTGACCCCCTTGAGTTAGGTTCAGGCTGTCCTGGGGCCCCTCTGGGGCAGATGGGCCCGGGCTCCCATGTCATCTGGGCGGGGGGGGGGGGGGGGGGGGGGGGGGGCAAAGGAGCTTCCAAGCAGCCTGACTTCACCACTTGGGACTAATGGACCCATCCACAGGTGGGAGAGTCAATCCCGACCGACTCTGGTTTGGCAGGAAGAAAAGAGCAATTATACCAATTAAGCCCTAGAATAAAATCAACAACCCCCAACAGCCCTTCTCTTTCTCCCTTGTGGGCCCGGGCTCCTTGAATGATTTCTGACTATAATTCTTACCTGCGGTAATAGGACAGATTAACAAGGACCTCACAGGCCAGTTTTGGCTTGCTTGGGCTCTGGGGAAACAGCTTAACCTCTAGAGGGCCAAAGTGCTCCTCATACA